GTGAATGCAATTAGAGATTGTAGTATATACTGACATGGTAGGGGTAGAACTTTCAACTTTTTGAATGGTAATGCGAATAGCCATCTTCTGTAAACTGAAAAACCTCTTAATATTGGTTGAATTTCCCCATAAAACTACACCATAGTTCAAGTGATTATGAATTAGAGCAACATAAACTATCCTGAGCTCACTGAGCGAAACAAAATACTTTAACCGATGCAGAACAAAAATTTGAGACGAGATCTTTGAGCTCAAGCTGTCGACGTACGACTTCCAGTTGAGGTGTGACTCAAGACTCATTCCCAGAAATTTTACCGGCGTTGAATCAGCTGCTCGTTTATCAACGGTACCTAACGCATATTGTTTGAGTCTTTGTTTCATTCAATTATTGGCTGCAAACCAAAGTCTAGCTTCTGCTAAATTGTCAACGCCTAACGAGGAATCGCGCGTCTACAGAATGGTAGTGGCATCAGCAAATTCAATGCAATAGTCAACAATTGCCTTGAGTAGATCGTTTATATAGACTAGAAATAGTACTGGTCCTAGAACCGAACCCTGGGGTACTCCATATTTTACAAATAATACACTACTACTTTACCGCTACAGGTGGCATACTGCATTCTATTTGTGAGGTAAGATTTGAATAGATCCAATTCTATGGCTCTAACTCCAAAATATTCTAGTTTATAACTGTACTATTCAAGATTGGGAAGAAAGTTTTCATAATCACCAATACCAGTATTTCCAATTAAAGTGCTTCATTTTGTAAAACAACGATTCCTTCAAAAGTTACGTTTATATTTTTTAAAAAATCGTACTTTCCTGTGCCCTTCTCGCTCTCCTTTTCCTCATTTTTATCGACTGCTTCGCCCCAGGAGACGCAGCGGCAGCGACACGGCACGGGGGCACTTCTGGCTAATGTTTCCCTAAGATGGGGTTTTAAATATATCAGAACGGCAAGTGTCGCGGCCCTATTGCGCCACCTGATGCCCCGTTAGGGGCCAAACCACCCTGTCAACCGCCCTTTTAAACGCTCCATTGATCTCGCCGTGCTCGGTAAACACTATAGCCGCGCGCCAGATCTCGTAAAATTGGACGGTCCACCCTTATGCGACGGACGTACAGAGCGCCCCCGATCTAAAAGACACATTGGGAAGTGTCGCTATTAATTTTAATATGCCTATTATCCTCCCGTTTTTAATTTTATGTAGTCTATAGCCTACACGCAGCTCGTGTTTTATTGCGCCCTTAAAAAATTACAGTTAGTCATAAATGTCATTGTTAAACTATGTTGGCAACAATGAACGTCTAGTAAGATATACTTGCTTTGAAATGAATAAAGAATAAAATGAAAGTCAAAGATTTGGGGTGAGCCACCTTAAAGGTCACACTAGTGCGAATTGGGATTTTGCCAACTTTGAACCTGTATGTCTTCTTTATTTATTAATGAAAACAACGTATTTATATCAAATCTGGGGTCAAATTTTCCGAGAAATCGAATAATGAAATTAGTAGATACCTAATGAAAAAAATAATTGTTAAAAAAAATGTGAACAAAAATTTTTTTCGAAAAGTGACTTAAATTCATGTTTTTAATGGGTAGAGAAAAAGTAAAATAAATTATTTTGAAGTTTAAAGTCTATATTTTTAAGAAAAAAATACACCATATTGATAAAATGATATTATGATTTTTCCCGGTACCTACCTGTAGGCATTTTTGGAAGTTGTGATTTTTGGCTCCTTTTCTGTATATTGATGTTTATTTTGCACTCTTTTGTATAAAAATATTAATTTAAACAATATTATCCATAAATATCGACAAATGTATGTCACAGTTAAACTATTAATGGAAAAAAATGTTTGAAACATTATTGACAACGTAAAATGAAGTAAAAAGAAATCTGAAATTTGCATTTCAATTCACTTTATTTCTAGTTTATATGATATGAATTCAGCTACACTTTTGCCCATACTAAAGTCACACTAGTGCGAATTCGCACCGATCGGACTTTTCACACTTCCTAGTTTGGCTGACAAAAACTGACTGAGGCCAGCTGTGGTACGGCTCGACTGTTTGGGCTATATAGAAGGAATTATCGTGATGGGGAAACCCTCGACAGTTGCTACCTGAGAAATGCCAGCTGTCAAAAAAAACGGTGGGGCGAATTCGCACTAGTGTGACCTTTGAGGGTAAGTATATTCCTTGTGTATACTATTTTGTAACCAATTGGAACTATTAACGGAATGTAAATTTAATTTTGTTGGGCGCCGTAAAATGTTTTGCTCTGCTCGACACGTTGATGCGCGTGGTGGGGAGAGAATGACTGTGACGCGATTGTTATATTTGTCTGTCAACCGTTCAAAATTGAGCAGGCACGTTGAGCACTAACTGAGAAGGCTTAACTATTAAAAAAGGGAATCAATCATTGCGGACTATTTTTTATATTGAAGTAAAAGTATTCAATTACAATATGTAAATTTCAGACCTTAATATTAATGAATGAGGTCTTGGCGATTTTTTGAAAAAAAAATCTCGACTCCTGTTGATCATAGGACATTTTTTTTTAATTCGTGAAGAAATGTCAGCTTTCAAATGGCATTCCGATTTTTCAACGATAAGAAAAAGATCTAAATTTTTCGATCCAAAAAAGAAATCAAAGTTTCGGTAGATTTTTCGGATATTTCCAATTATTTTGCAATACGCGCACAATTTGCACAGGAAAGTACAACTCTTAGAGAAAATTTTAAGTCTAAGATGGGTCACGTAAGTGCATTATTGTATGATTGATTGAAACTTGAAAAAAATATGTCTTTTTTTCGAGAAACTCAATTTTTGTAAAAACTATCAAATATTTTGCAATTTTATAAAAATGCACTTATTCTGCTTGCCAAGGACTACATATCCTGAAAGTTTCGTAAAAAAATCTTTGTTTGTTTCAAAGATATAGAAGTTTTAACAAAAATCGTTTTCTACCAGCTTTTTTGCACTAACTAATACATTTGTTTATGAACCGATATTGGGCTGAGCTCAAAATATTTGTTATAAAAAGCTCTACAACTTTTGTCTAAAACATTTTTTTCTAAAATATTTAGTTTTTTTTAAATTAAAAAAACTTTGTTTTGCGAACTTTGGATGCCATTTAGAAAATGAAGCCCTAACATTCAGCTGGGGTAAACCAGTTCATTCAATTCTACGGATAGTCTAGTAATTGAAGGTAAAATACGGCGTTACTGTATAATTCTCCCTAACGGCACCGATTTGTACCAAAATTTGGATTTAAGTTCTATTTACCCTCTACTTCAAAGTTGACCCTGTGACGGGGGTTGCTTTTTATTTTTTAGGGGTGAAAACTACTCCTATTCGAAAATAATTATAGAATTGTAGATTTGAGCGTGTAATACGAGTAGATTGAAATAATCTTTAAATAAGTAATTATGATGAATTGAAAAGTGTTAAACCCTAAAAACCACACACAAAATTTTGCGTATCATTAATAGTTTTTGAGTTATTTTGAAGAAAAGACAATTTTTTCCAAAAATACAAAAATTCTCTTTTCACTTCAAGCTCAACTTTTTCAAAACTAATCACTTTAAACTGGTCAACCTTCTAGATCATATTACAAGTACATAAATAAAGTAAATTGTAAAGTTGTAACGATTATTTTCAATTGAGGTGGTAATTAGGGGGTGATTTTCGGGTTTTTTTGTCGCCGAAAAAAATACGGACCAACTTTTTTTTCGTTATAACTCACTTAGGTTTGATGATAGGGACTTTTATAAAAAATAAAAATAAAGGTTTTTTCAAGCACTTTAAAAAGGTTTTATGAGTTTTCCCTGAAACATGTATTGGTTTTTGGTTATTTCACGTTCAAACTTTCAATTTTGGCGTTTGACGAATAAGAACCAACTTTCAACAAGCTATTACTCCGCTTGTATTGGGTCTACAGACACCATAATATACCATTCTTTTTGTTTTTTTATAAGCTACATTTTTTATAAGAATGAATTTTTTGATACAATACTTACTTTTTGAGTTATTCGCGAAAAACCGTCTGAAAAAGTGTTTTTTTTTTGTTTAAAAAAATTACACCTTCACTTGCGAATAAGTTGAAAAGTATTGACTTTCAGAAAAAACTATAGAACAAAAGTTGCTTAGAATTGGTCAACTGGCCATTCCCGGAGTTATTTTCAATGAAACATTTTTCATCCCCGAAAACTGGTGGCATCCGCCCCCTTGGTAAAAGCAACCCCCGGTACAAGGTCAACTTTGAAGTAGAGTGTAAGTAGAACCTAAATCCAAATTTTTATGAAAATCGGTGCTGTTTGGCAAAATTATACGGGAAAATAATAATTTTTACGTGTATTTGTTTACTGAACTAAATTTTGGCACATACAAATCTAATTTGATTGGACTATAAAAAAAACACGTCTTTGTAACCGCAAAACACAGTATGTACTGCAAGCTGTTACTGTGAATGCCTCGCCACCAATGTATTTTTACCTCCAATGATAAATAAATAAGATCAACTACAGATAAAATACTTTGGAATATGTAGGTATAAATAGGGACAAGTACAGGGAATTTGCTCATATACTTATGTTGAATATTATTAAAAACTTATAGTTATAAAAATTAAAACTCCTAGGACTCATCTGAGTGTTTACTCCAGCTTTCTGTTTATTTATCAATATGGATCGTGATAGCTGTAACAATTTAATTACATTTGTTAAATCACTATAGGAATTTCTAAACCTAAGTAAACTTTCTGTACAGAAGGTGCCTGCCCTACTATCAGATCTCCTGTCTTTGTCAATCGTATTGCGGGCTCTATTCTTGACCTGCGCATCTTGCTGACAAGATGAGCTTGGTTAAACTGCAGAATATTCATTGCTCTGGTGGATTAAATTAGAAATCATTTGGGCATATTTTACTTTTAATCATTGCCTCATCGACACCACTAACTAAATTTTCCCCTGATTAATCGAACCCTCGTTTGCAGATGCCAGGCGGGGACGGGCAGGTGCATCGTCGACAAGGCCCACCGGAACCAGTGCCAGGCGTGTCGACTCAAGAAGTGTCTGGCGATGGGGATGAACAAAGATGGTAAGTTCAGCTCTCAAACGCGGCCGATTCGAGTAATACGTGCCCCCCGGAATAAGGGCAGCGGCGGCCGAATTTCCGGAGCGTTATTAAATTATCGGGAGTGCCGGGGTGGAGTTTGCGAGAGGGCAAAATGGCTGGGTGCGGGCCAGGGCCGGACTCGAGGATGATCCGGACGATGCCGGTATGTTTATGATTGAGCGTGTACTGAATTTTCACCAGATATATTGTGGCAATACAAGGTGTTCTATAGGTTGATTAAAAAATTTTTTAAAAAATCGACATTTTTTGTTCAAAATCCACTCTGAAATAGGTTCAGAGAGGCGAGAGAGATGCTTGTAAAAATCGGAACCTTTAATATTAATATTTAGAGGTCGCGCATCGCGATTTTCTATTTTCCTTTTAAATGACATTGGAAAAATTATTTTACAATTTCAGAATTTTATATCTTAAAAACTAATAGACGGATTTAAATGACCGAAACATATTCTTGTAGGGAATTGAGGGTTCTACAAAAAATGTCCCTTATCATTTTTTGATAAACCTACTCGTACAAAAGTTATTCAAATTCAATGTTCAAATTATGTTATAATTACACTTTTTTCTCCAGTTTCAGGTAAAATGATTAAATTTATCATGAAATATTATAAAAAAGGCGGTTAAAAGTAAAAATTGATAAGTCTTTCAAATTAATATGACTGAAAAACCCACCATTTCTGGGAAGAATGAAATAAAATCCTTTTTATTGTATTAAATAGTATTTGAAATTTTTTAAAATTATTTTAAATTTATTCAAATTCAAATTTATTCAAATACTATTTTATACAATAAAAAGAATTTTAATTGATTCTTCCCAGAAATGGTGGGCTTTTCAGACATATTAATTTGAAAGACTTTATAAACTTATCAATTTTGACTTTTAAATGCCGTTTTTTTTAATAATATTTCACGATAACTTTAATCATTTTACCTGAAACTGGAGAAAAATTATAATTATAACAAAAATTTAACTTTGAATTTGAATAACTTTTGTACGAGTCGGTTTTCTTGTAGAACGTTCAATTCCCTACAAGAATACGTTTCGGTCATTTAAATTCGTCTATTGGTTTTTAATATACAAAATTCTGAAATTGAAAAATAATTTTTCCCATGTTATTTAAATGGAAAATAGAAAATCGCGATGCGCAACCTCTAAATATTAGCATTAAGAGTTCCGATTTTTACAGGCATCTCTTCTCACCTCCCTGAATCTATTTCAGAGGGGATTTTGAAAAAAAATAGTCGATTTTTTTAAATCAGCCTAGTGTTCTACATGTTCCATGACAAACTTAGACGGATGGTAGCTGAGCTAATTTCAAACATTTTTTCTTATATGAACATAGGTCCGATTCGTTTTTGTTTAGAAGTAACAAGCATTTTAAAAAATGTAATTTTATGTTTCAATCAAAGTAGGCTGATAAATAAAAATGATGGTTGCTATGACAATAATTATTATTTGTGTTTAAAGTTTCAGCATTAGCTAACCTTTATTAACCAAATTAACAAATCTTAAGACTATAAAAATTGTTCAAAATGTCCACCCTCGGCTTGAATGCAAGTCTCATATCGGCGAACTAAAGATTCCGTCATTCGACGGATAAGATTTGGATTATTTCTTATCTGGTTAGCTGCCTAATTTTTTTTCAAGCAACTACTGACGGGTAGTGATTTCAACATGGTAGATAAATAAAGGTCCAAAGGTTTTAGATCTGGGGAACGTGGTGGCCATGCTATTGGACCCTGTTGACCCATTCTTTATTCGGGAAATGATCATTTAACCAAATAGTTACTTGTCTCTCTCTATGTGGTGATGCACCATCGTGCTGAAACCACATATTTTGAACACATTTAAGCCCTAGGTTATCAATGAAACCAAAAGGGTTGTTTTCCAAGAAAGTTCTTTACAGTTCTCCTTTAATCGATCATTTAAAATATGTACATGCAGGCAGTATTATTGTTGAAAGTGCTACTCCAAACGTTGACACTGAAACGTTGCCGAAATCATCTTGATCTAATTACATGCGGATGCAGATATGTTCATTATGATTTATGCCGTCCCTAGTAAAATGCGTTTCATCACACCACATGACAAGCGAAATGAATCTATCATTTGTGCATGTTGTTGAAGTAACCAGCGACAAAATTCTAATCACTGAGGAGCATGTAACATTTATCTGTCCAATACACGCCATACCAAATTCGGTGATAAATAAATGTTATTTGCTATACGCCGAACAGTAATTGTCAATGACAGCATCTATTATATCTTCTTCATTTTGTACATTCACTTCAGTAGGATGAATGGCCTTTTTTGGAGCGTGGTTACCTTCTTCTGGAAGTCTACGAAATGATGCACTAAAGAATGGGTGCTCAGGTCGATGTCTATTTGGGTATCTTCGTTGGTATTCTTGGGCTACTTGTCTGGCGTCCCAATTGAAATACCCATATACAGGGTGATTCACAACTTATCCAAAAAAATTTGGGAATAGATGCAGCATGAGAAACGGAATCAATATAGTAAAAAATTTTTTTGTAAAATTCTTATAGTTTCCGAGAAAAAAAAATTTAAATTATGGTACATTCAACCACTACATAGCTGGACAACTGTAGTCTTTAGCGTCATTCGCCTCGTGGCCTCAGCGAATACTGAATTCGGATTTTGCAATCGTCGTTGCGATATTTACCAGTTATCTGTGGTATTTACAATAGGTTTTTAATAGTTAGTGTCAAAAATGGGTAGTTAGTGTCAAAATGGTTTGCGTGTACTCGGAGTTGATGGATATCGTTTTAATTTATGGTGAAGCATTTGTGTTATGGTGAAACAAGACAACATTTGTGGTAGTTCGTAGAAACTTGAGTACAACGGACCCAAATGTGTTTACCCACATTGGTGGATAAAATTTTGAACAATTGTTGTAACATCGGGTATGTCAAATGATTTTATTATTTAAAAACACAAATTAATTTTATTAATTAATAAAGACAATAGCAGTTGAATTTGCCGATATAAAATAGGTGCGATAAAATACTATTTACATATTTCTTTCGTTGCGAAAGTTTTTGTCCGTTTTTATCACACCGCCATGCCGGTCGCATTGTGCGTGGTCAGGTTTTACAGTGGACCAGTTTCCAGTACCGTGCAGAAGTGTATTTTTAAATCATTTCGAACTGCCCTTTTTGATTTCTTCTTTACAAAATTGTATTTGTAAGGGTCCCCTGTACATCCAGAATTTTTTTTTTGGATAAGTTCTGAATCACCCTGTATAAAGACAATATCTGCATACTCTTTAGTTGGAAATAATTGCATTTAGCACACAAAATTACACAATTAATAATTATTGTTATAGCAACCATCATTTTTATTTATCAGGCTACTTTGATTGAAATATGAAATAATATTTTTTAAAATGCTTATAGCTTCTAAACAAAAACGAATCGGACCTATGTTCATACCATCTGTCAAAGTTTGTCATAGAGCTCATAGAAAAAAATTAATGTATTCATATAACATTCTCCCCCCCCCCCTTTATCTAAAGACCAAAGTTTTCTTGCTATATCAAAGAAATATGTATAGAAAAACTATAGAAATTGAATTGAATTGACAAAATAAAAACCGGTTTATTTTCATGTATGTTTAACATTTTTTTTATGTACCTATCTAAAATTAACAGCATGTTTAGGATTTAGGACAACAAAATTTTTAAATATGTTGCTAAAATCTTTAACGCGTTTATTTCTAGACTTCGTCTAGTACTAGTACTAGTAGTACGCCACCATATTAGCAAAATAAAAATTTTGTCTTCGTTTCTGCAACAAAAGTATCTAATAAAAGTATCTAATATAAAATAATTGTATACAACTAAATTAGATTCCTGTAACGTATAGTATTTAATATATTTTCTTCGAAATGTACGATAGTCGTCGTGGACTAAAATTTGGTATTGTCAAAATTTTTTTTAATCCATTCGTAAAAACACAGTAACTTTCATTTACATCTAACTAATATTGGACTTTGGTTGCAGTTTGGTCCCGATTTTCCATCTCGTCTTCTAGTCCACGTAAGCGGAATTTGAAATTAACTTATTTAATAGATTTCCGTGGTTTCCGATTATAAATCTTTAGCTCGCTATTTCTAAGAACCAAACTCTTTACAAACGAATACATCGGTGCTACTAAAATGCTATTTGATTCCATTGACAATTAGCTTGTTTTTAACGCATTTAGAAAAGAGAATAACTATTTTTCTGCTTTTGAAATATATATAATTATAATATTTATACAGAGTGGATCTTTAAAATGTACATACATTTTAATTGTAACTTTATTTTTTTAAAATATATCATTATTATTAAATTATATTTTATTATAATCCGTGATCACCGCAGATTCCAACGAAACTGTGCGTAAATTCATCAAACATCAACAAAAATCTTAACTGAAATTTATGAAATTGGAATTGAGCATCTCCAAAATATCAATTTATCGCATTTTGGCTGAATATTTGGGCCACCGAAAAGTGTGTGCACGGTTTGTTCCGCATAAGTTAACTGACGACCAAAAATTGCTCAGATTTCAACATTCCAAGGACATCATCAAGAACAAAAATTTCCGTTACAATACTGTGACGTGATTAAACGCAGTGTTTTCAATATGATCCAGAAACCAAGCGCCAAAATGCCGAGTGGATGGCGCCAAACAAACCAAAACTCAAAAAATCTCGTTTGGAGAAGTCAAAAGTGAAGACAATGTTGATTTGCTTTTACGATTCCAAGGGCATTGTTCATAAAAAGTTCATTCCATCGGGCTAAACCGTTAAGGCACACGTTTATCTTGGCGTTTGGAAGTGTTTCGTGCATCGTATTCGTCGTATTCGGCCAGAATGTCGATTGTTTGTCCAAAAATAGCATTTTAACTGTCAACCACTCCCAGTATCCGCCTGATTTGGCATCGTGCGACTTTTACCT